GCCCTAGCAATTTACACATACCTTAGGTATATATGAATAGGATTCCCATCATTGTCAACTGGGTATGACAAAAGATGTTGGCTAGCATGCTCACTTAAGCACACTTTTCTCTAAAGGTGAAGAATAAAACTGTGTGGTCATGTACTGATGAGTAGAAAAGAGAAAGGAAAAGTCAGATTTCAAAGTATTGTCTCAAATCCCTGTCATGTTTTGAGTTATAATAGCAAGGAACCTCGTGGCGGAGTGATTAAACTGCAGTACTTCAGCCAATACTCTGCTCATCACTATAATTCAATCTGCATGAAAGGCAGAACTCATGGTTGACTTGGTCTTCCATCCTTTGAAGGTCAGTAAATTGAGTGCCCTTGCTTGTTGAGGTGGGGTAGAATGTATAGCTTGCATAATTACGTTCTAAAGCACCCAGAAAATCTAAGCAGCTTGCTTTGCTTTCATAAACTTTCTTACTAAATCATTAGCTCACTTAGATGGTAGGCACACTTAATCTGTATACTGTACCACCAAACTGATTAGACTAAGTAATACTTTTCTTATTATTATAAAATGCCCTTAGGGAAAATTAACTTGAATTTCACTGGGAACTTGTAGTCAAACATTCATCTGAGGTGAACTGTACTTCATTCTTTACAAGGAAACAACCAAGACTGGATAATGGAAGAATTTAATCCTGTTCTCAGCTCAGATGTAAATGACTCATTATTGGAAAGTCAGAATTAATTGCAAACCTGCAATGAACAAGATGATACATCAGAGTCCCAAGGTAGTCAAAGTATTCTAGAAAGAGTTCAGAATAGATCTAGCGTCTTATTTATTTCTCTTTCTGTCATTCCACAGTAGGGTCAATGATCCTTCAATCTAAATCATACTTGTTTGCTTTCTTTAAAGGGGAAAAATCAGTACTTAAAACTGAATGAAGATTACAGATATAGTTTGTCCCATCTGAGGGATCAATACTGCCACATTTCTGATGCAAGGGTTTTTGTTCAAGAGCAGTTTTTCCAGTTTGGAGAATGTCCAGAATTGGAGCACTTAACACCATCCTTTTCTGTCTGTAATGTTTATCAAAATGAAACACAGCATACATGTGGCTCCAGGTAAGAAATATTTGAAAATGCAGATGAAAGGTTGCACGGTTTCTTCTTTGAAGGGACATCCACAATTTTGGGAGGGAGGTGGAAGTGGAAGTGACTTCCTCTTACCCCTATCCATGGATTTATTTATTTATTTATTTGCCCATTCATATGGAAATGACAAATATAGATGACTTCTTAAGTGTCCTCACTAATGCCTGCCCCCTCCATTGCAACATTTCTGAGAAGTGCTTTAGAATTTAGGGAAGTGTGGGCAACAAGATAATTCTGTTTAATGTATTCTCTCAAAGGCTTTCATGGCTGGGATCCGATGGTTGTTGTAGGTTTTTCAGGCTGTTTTCCAGAACACAGCCAAACAGCCTGAAAAACATGCAACCTGTGTGTTTTGTGCTTATATAGCACCGAAATCACATAAAGAACAAAGTACTGTACAGTAGGTATGAGTGTGTGGTTAGGTTAGGCATCCTTCAGTCTCAAAAGACTATGGTAACATGCTCTGTATGGAGGACTTGGAACAGCATCTAGTGTGGTAGATGTGGAATATTCAGCAACAATGGGAACTAGACAGGGGTAATGTGTCCCTGTTCTGCTGGACCTCTTAGCAGTCTTTGATGCCATAGATTATGGTGTCCTTCTAGTCCATCTCTCTGGGATGGGGTTTGGAGGCACTGTTCTACAATGGCTTTGTCCCTGGAGGGGAGAACACAGATGGTGGTGCTGGGGGACTCTTGTTCAGCATCCTGGCCACTGGCCTGTGGTGTCCCTCAAGGATTTGAGTCACTTTAAGGAGAAAGGCAGGGTGAAAATATTTTAAACAAACAAACAGCAGGTAGAACTCGGTTGGACATCCATAATTTTCCAAGCAAAGAAACAATTCTTCCCCCCCCCCCACAGGCACCCATTACAATTCTTTTAGCACTCATGAAAGAGAACTACCAAAGGAGCACTGAATTCTGAAATAGTTTAGTGGTACATACTTCTTCATCCTTCCTGCCCTTAAGCATTAGGATTGGAAAATTCGGTTAATACTATCTATTGTGATGAAAAGCAAGACCTGTTATTTATAAAACCATACTTCATCCTCCCCAGCACTTTTCCCTACTCTAGTATCTTCCTAATATTGAGGGCTTGGGGAGAAGTACATGTGTGTGTATGCAAACATATGGTCTGGATTTTTGTGTTTGAGTCTGGAATGCTAAAAACAAAAAAAGCTCTGGAAGCATTCCGACTTTGATTTGATCTGCTTTGGATGAGACCTGCTTTGATCAATGTATCTCTGAAATCTACGGGATTCAGATCAATTTGAAAAGTCATATAAATTTTAAGCATGCCCCTAATTTTAAGTTTCCTTTGAAAATCACTGGTTCCTTTTTCTTTATGACTGTCCCTAGCATGTTAAATAGTATTTGTCCATAATACTTTATTCATGTGTGTTGGGGTTAAAAAGTTAATGCCACTATATATTATTTATCTAGGGGAACGAGGGCAGGTTTTTAAATCCTAGTTTTCTTGTTTTCTTGGTTGGATTCTTGTAAAGTGGCAGAGCTCTGTGCCAGCAAATCACTGTGAAGTTTTTTTGGAGTATGTGTTTACAAACTGGGGGTTAATACATCCATACTTTGTTTAACTATTTGCTGAAATACTGGAGACTGAATGAGTGTATATTGGCCAGAATCCTGTTGTTGTTTGTGTATTGTCTGTGTAACTGGTCACAGTGAATTGCAGCTAATTGACAAGATACTGAGCATTTCTTGGTTGCATTATCAGTTAGCCACAAGTTATGGAAACCTTATGAGAACACCAATAGGATTGGAGTTATTGTTGTAAAGGTATGTTTTATCTCCTCTGGCCTTTTTCATTTATCACAGACTGACTGTTGTCCTTTGTAAGTATTATATCATGAGATAAAGATATCTGACTGTCATACAAAGAAAAGAATGAATGAAATCATTGTTTTTATACACAGGCCAGAATCCTATTACAAGTGGTGCCTCGCTTAACGAGCGCACCGTAGAATGACGAAATCGCATAGCGATGAGATATTTGCGATCGCAAATGCGATCGCATACCGATGGCCCCTATGGGCAAAACTCGCATTGCGAAGATCGGTAAGTGTTTCGCTTACCGATCTTCGCAAAGCGATGCCCGCGGATCAGCTGTTCGGCGGCTCCAAAATGGCCGCCGGAAGCTCCAAAATGGCCACGCGCAGCGTTTTCGCGCCCTGCCCTCGCTTACCGAGGGCACGAAAATGGCTGCCGGACCCTGGAAACATCGCTGAACGGTGAGTTTTTTGCCCATTTGGAACACATTAAACAATGTTTAATGCGTTCCAGTGGGCTTCCCCGTTCTGTACAGCGATGTTTTCACATAGCGAGGGTTAATCCGGAACGGATTAACCTCGCTATGCAAGGCACCACTGTACTGTACTTATGCCCAGTGGTATAAGTTAATTGGCATAAATGTCAGTAACAAACTGCTATTCTTAAAGAAGTCAGGGTTGTATTTCCTGTTGCATAGTGTTTGAGGATGTGTGACAGGAAATGCAAGCACTGACTTCTTAACTGACAGCAGTATGATACTGAAATGTATGCCAATGGACTTCTGCCAGTTGGCTTACAGGATAACACATGCACCAGCCGTAAGATTTGCTTCAAATTCTGATTTGGTATTGAAAGAAATTAGCTTGGTTTGGCTTGGACAGATTTGGAAACTGATATCTAAATTTTTGTCTTGATTATCAAATTCTTTATGTGTGCCATTGATTATTATTGAAATTTTTTTTTAAAGCTGCTGGTTTTTTTTTTATGGTCAGCATCAGGTGGAAGGTATACAGGTAAAGTTACTACATACAAGAGGAATATGCCTGCCAACCTCTAAGGAAATTGGCATGAGAAGTAGTGCTAAGTGGCTTCATAGTGTGCATTTACAGCATTTTTAATTTCTTGATGGAACTGGATGATATTTTCATGCATAGTTGCACTCTCAAAAGGGATCATACCAGCAGTTTTCAAGTGAATGGGCACTAGGGACTTTGTGTGGGACTGGATTTAACAATTGGAAAGGACAGTTCATAAAAGTATGTTCTTATTCTCCTGGTGTTTTTCATAGGTAGTATGAGAATAAGAATCAAAATAGCACTGGGATGGCCCTAATCAAGATACATGCAACATTCTAAAGAACAGATATAGTGTTATTTCTGTAAAGAATGTTCACTTCGAGAGGGAATCCTCCATGGTGCTGTTTTGTTTTGTTTTTTAAACAAAGTTAACAATATACCAAAAAGATAACCCTTGTCAAAATACCTGCAAATTTCAGAGCAGGTGCAAGTCCAAGGAGTCATAAGTGAAAAACTATGTAAGTGACGGTGTTGCTTTCTAGTCAATTGGCACCAAAGTAACCCATTAAAAAAATGCAACAGGTTGAATCATATAGGATGAATCATGGATGTGTGCATACAGCAGCAGAAGGAGTAGAATACTGTATCTAGTAGCTTCCAAACATCCATAATCCCAGTTCTTACACAATCCAGCAAAACAAATCCACAGGGTCCCTTCCAGTTCTTCAGTTCTAAGGTTATTATAATATTCCTCTCTGGGAGGGAGAGCAACCACAGAGTATTAAATACTAGATCAGTCGTGCAATATACTGCTTCTAGATCTCTCTTCCAAAGCATCGGGAACAGAGATCCTCAGTAAAACCAATGTGATCGGAATTAAGAATGATCAGTCACGAAACTATACTCTTTCGTTTTACTTCGCCTCCCCACCTCCTTGTACTTTGGCTACGTGGAGAATTTGGATGTGTAGGTTGTATTAGTTTCTTGACACCTACCCACTTCTGAGAGTAAATATATTTAAGATTATTCTCTTACGCTGATTGGAATAAACTTACCATAATTGGTCTTCATATGCTGTCAGTATCTTTTGTTATAGGAACATGGCAAGGGAATTCTTCATCAGTGCAAAGAAAAGCCCAAATGGTACAGATCCATGTAGAAATTTTGACATAAAGGCTGCTGTCATCTCAGCTGGCTTGATCCCAGGCTTCCTTCTCTTGAGTCCTATTTTGTTCTGATTTCAGCCCCTTGACCTGACTTAGCTGCACTCTTACCCCACCCTAATTCTTGCTTCCTCTTGCCTCTTCAACCCTCTCCTGCTGTAGCCTGTCGCTATGCCTGTGCTAGGGAGACAGTTTATGCCTTTGTGACATCAATGACCATTACACCAATCTGCCTCATTTTCCTAGGTATGCTAGCTCAGGAAGAAGTTTGCTTCAAAGGCTGAGATTGGTGCAATGACTGCTGATGTCACCAAAGGCCCATGTTCTCTTTTGCATGTGGGAAATCTTTTATTCGCCTTTGCAGTTGCTGGGCTGCATGTAGGGATGTAGGCTAGGGGTGTCATTAATTTTCAGCATTTTATTTTCCTAATCCAAGTTATTTTTCACATTTTGCTGCAATGGGAATTCCCTGTAGGGGAATACTATGGAGAGTGGCTGATTTCCCAGAGCAGCAGTAGGGAGATGTGCTAAGCCCATTTCCCTCACTTGCCAATTTCCAGACTAAGTTTAATAGTCCTACTGTTGCTGTTTCAATTCCAAACTCCTACAGACCTACATGAGTCAATTTCAAATAGATGTCTTAGCACATGGGATTGTGATCAACCATTTGAAACTGACAGCATAAGAGCCTGAAATTGACAAGGACAACAAAGAGATACAATAATTCTGTGGAGGATAATACTTCAGGCACAAGCAGTACAGGACTTTCAATCTTGACAGAAACTTCAGGACTGCAGTAGGTAAAGTTTTTCTAGGTATTAATATGGAATTATGTGGGGATTGACATCAGTTTCTGCAGAGCTTCTGAGGAATTATGCACAGGAGTTTACAGGAAATCAAGGGAGAGGGAAATGAAAAGGCAGAAAGTACCATAGAAATCTATGAGATTGAGACACACTTATATTGACAACCCTATCATTGGGCAAAAGGTTGCAGGCTCCCCATATGCAGTCTGTTTCTTTTTCGCTTCAAAGCAATGGCATTTCCTTCATAGCAGTAGCAATTTAGAAAGATGTGTTGATTTGGACGGCTTATACACAGTATTCACAAACATCTGATACTTTACCACAGAGGTTTGCACAGAGGCCAGCCCCAGGGCCGCCTTCTTCTGTGTCATCATCTGCTTCTGACCAAAGTCAGTAGATAAAGTGAACTAAGCTCAGACTCGAGTCTCATTACTGTGAGGTGACAAACTGAGAGCAAGTTGTATATTAATTCGAAGTCTAATCAGCTTGCTTCTGTTTCTGTATTCTTTCCATGTATCTACACTGTATCCCTCTGAGACTTGATGGAGCTACTAAAAGGAGTGTTATGCCTGAACAATTGACAACCCATCTTGTAGAACAGAGAAGGATAAAGATTATTGTCAATGCTGTGTTAGCACTTTTGTTTTTCACCTAAGCAATGGTCAGATTCTTGAAATATACCCGAATTTGTGTCTCGAGAAATGGAGAATGACTGTTGTCTCTTCATCCCAGTATGCTTTGCCTAGGTATAACATTGCTTCCTGCACATCAGCCAGTGACTTATTCCATTGACAGTGGCTTGTCTGGGGTTGGGATTAACTGCAGACCCCATGAATTAAACTGCAGGTCTGATCTTTAGACTTCTCTGTTTCATTCCTTAATTTTTTGTACTGCCTAGTCTGATGGAGGGTTCTGGAGAACTTGCAGATTTCTAGAGCATTTAGCTTAAAGAAGAGTCTCAATAGTTGTGGACTTTGTCTCTCTTTCATAGACCAGCTTAGCTACCTTTATTGCTCTAATGAATTCTTTGTGTCTATACCTATCCATGTGAAAGTGCCAGGGATATACAGTATGACATGTCTAGCAACCACTGTTTATTTTCCATTAGATGTAGGACAGCTATGATACTTACGGTATCATAAGTCTATGTCTTTTCCATGTTCCACGTAGTTGCCTGCTACAGACAAGGAATCAGAGAGCACCATAATACAATGGTGCCTCAACTTATGAAATTAATCCACATTGGAATGGTGGCCACAACTTGAAATTTTCGTAAGTTAAATCACCATTTTCCATAGGAAACCATTTAATCCATTCTGGCTGTTTTTGGTTCTTATGTCGAGGCGCCATTCTTCAGTCGAAGCATTAGTTCCCATAGGAACTAATCCAAAGCTAGTCAATCCATACTTTACCACTAGGGGGAGAATTTTTCTTCTTTTGACCTAAAATGAACTTAGGTTAAAAAGAGGGGGCAGGAAAGGGGGGGACACCTTCTAAACAGAACACTTTTTAACCCAAGCACATTTTAAACAAAACCAAGCACCTCAGACTACAGTAAACTCCATTTTAAAACCTGGCTGCATCAACAAGCACCACAGCCCCTCACAGAATATTTTCTGATTTTAAAAGAGACAGACCTTGGAGCCACATTTTAAACACACATTTTAAAACAAAAGAGAGGTCACAGTACACAAACCCTAAAAGCCACGGAATTCAGCAAGCATTATTCTAGCACAGAACTCCTCATCACAAAAAGAGAGTATAAACTGAATTTTACAGTTTGCTTGCATCACCAGCCAGCACAGCCCCTCACAGAATATTTTCTGATTTTTATAAACAACGACGGTGGAGTCTAAACTGCATTTTACAGCCTGCCTGCATCAACAACCAGCAACTATTATTACGGCAAACAGATCCCCTCAGCACAAAAAAGAGAGCACAGAGAGAGAGAGAGAGAGAGAAGACAATTGGGGTGGGAAAGAGAGACTTGAGTCTAAACTGCATTTTTATGAAAAAAAGATTTTGAAGCCACATTTTAAACCCACACATTTAAAACAACAGAGAGGTCACAGTACACAAACCCTAGAAGCCACAGAATGCAAAAATAAATAAATAAATTGTACATTTTAAAATTACTGTACAGTCTAATTTTCACATTTGATTTTAATTTAATATACAGTCTACTTTTCATATTTTAAATCCGCACTGCAAGACCCATCAGAGCACAGAAACATAACCCCCACCTAGCCCTATCCCCCCACCAAGCTGCAGAAAACCCTGTACAGTACAGTAAATACAGTGTACAGTATGTACTCATCCAGAACAGGCAGTCTCTCTGTTAAAAAAAGTCAAAAATTAAAAAAATCAAAAATTAAAAAAAGGCAAAAAATACAGTCCATACAGTACAGTACCAGGCAATAGCAGACAGTAGCAGGAAGTCTGAAGACTCTCTCCCTATCCACTCTGTAACTGTTGGGACGAGCAAGGTAGCAGACAAGCAGCCTCTTCACTGGCCAATGGTTAACAGAAAGTTCAAATTTCGCGCTTTCCCCACCTCCCCCACATTTTTTTTTCTTTTGTAACTCGAAGCTCCGGCTGCAAGTTGAAGCAGTATTTTGCGGCCGGAGCTTTTCGTATCTCGAAAATTTCGCAAGTAGGGACATTCGTAAGTCGAGGCACTATTGTACTTGGGACATAGATAAGGTGCTGTAGATCATCAGTTCTGAAAACAGCATTTTTAGTTCTGGAATATTCATTGTATTTCGGCAGTATCTATAATCTTAAATATTTGTGGCAATGAGTTAAAGGATATGTGCTTTTTAGTACGTCCATGCAGTAATAAAATAGAAGATGGCATTTCAGTGTTAAACTTTTATGTAGACAGGGCTTTTAATTGAACTAATAAGAAAAGTGATTTTATTCACAGCAAACAGAGGCTTTAAAAGGTTAACTTTCTTTTACTGCTTTGTGTTTTACTCAGTAAACATTAATGTAGCTGCCTTCCGAGAAGGGCAGACAAAGCTTATATGCCCCCCCAAAAAATATCCTGTTAATTACCATAATCCTATACATCTTTCTGGCAAGTTTATAGAAGTAAGCCTATGTCAGACTCAAACAAGATGTCTCATGTTCTTTCACATTGTACAGTATATTGCTCCTTTTGTGATGGGTTAATGTCTCTTCTGGTGTTCTGTACTTGCTGGAGACATGAAAATAGGGGTTGCTTTTGAAACACTGGCTAAAACAAGAGTGGGAAGCCAGTGTTCCCTGGTCTAGAATAAGCTTTTGGTCATCATTTGGCCTCTATGAGTTCCTTTCAACTCCCCAACACACACCTCTGGAGCTGCCAAACATTGAAGGTGTCAAGAGACAGACAGCCATCTGTCAAAAATGCTTCAGCTTGGATTACTGATGACCTATAGGCCCCTTCCAACTCCATTAGTCAATGATTCTAAAAGAAAGACAGTTTTGCTTTGGTACATAAGGAAGAAACCCCCTCTTATCTCAATTACTGAATGAAGATGGGAGTGGGAATTCCCAGTATTAGAGAAAAGCTAGATTTTTAGTAGTGCTGAGATGGATTACGTCTCTCTCTCTACATAAAGAAATTTATAGAACAGTTGCACCTTCTATTATGAATAGAGAAAAGGATTATATCAGTATGGTACTGGAGTGGAAACGATCACCTCTCATAACTATTGGAATAGCAACCTGCATATTATGCCTTTAAGAGGCTTAGATGGGAGGGATTTGGGGTGAATGTCAGTCACTGAGAGTAGCCAGTTGCTTCCCTCTCTACCTCAGATTTCTTTTCCCATTTTTGTTTTTTAACTTCAGTTCAGGTTCAGTGTCTATTAGAGTCTGTAGTGTTTAGAAATGTTATGGGTTTTGAGACAAGTCAGGTAATGGCAATGTCAAGTGTTCTGATTGTTTATGTAACTAGTCAGTTGGTGAAGCAAATACTGTAATGAACCCAATCAGCTAAGATATTATACTATACTGTATAATGAGTGAATATGGGTTTTTTTAAATATTCTGACTGATATGAAGATTTTGTAAGTAAAATAAACATTTTTATTCTTTCTCAAAACCAGAGTCTCAGATTGAATATATTAAGACTGTTATGCTAATTAAAGTAAATCTGACTAAAACTGACCTATACAATAAGGAGTGGTGTATTTGAGAGCAGATTGTAATATTACTAATGTGCTCTGCATGTCACTGTCTGGAGTCTCTTAAACCAGCAATTTCCCACATACTCTGCCCAATAATATCATCCAAACCACCTCCTGAGTTTCCATGGAGCGATCTATTACTAAT